TGGAGCTGGCGTGGTTTGGGGACGCTGAAGAAGCCACAGGCAGCCGGCCTGGACTGGAATCACTGAAAAGACGCCCCAGGAGACCCCAGGGCGTAAAAGAACTGCCCTCCCAAGAGAGGAAGCAAGTTGGAGATTGCACAGCGCCTTCTCTGAACGTTATACACGTACGTGGCCAGTCTGGATGTATGTGTGTGAGTATGAAAGTGTGCCTACTCTCAGCCGCAGTAAGTCTGAGAACCGGAGAGGGGTTTAGCATTCCTCTCTCCACCCCGGTTGACCGGGAAGGGTGTCAGGTGGATCTATCCCAGTCGTAGCGGGACTGGGCAATAGAGAAATTGGAGAAAAGGGAAGAGTTGTGTACTTGATAACTAGAATTGAGCAATTAAGAGCATAGATCATGAACCAGGCAGCAACTCAAACCTACGCTCAGGGCAAGTTGCAAGCCTTGAGACAGGACTTCCAGGCAGAAAAGGAAGCACTGGCTAAGCAAGTACTGGTCCTTCAGGGACTTGTCAGAATTTAACCATTTGTGTTTGCATATGCTGTAAGAGCAGTGTGTTTGCCACAAGAGAAAATTGAATAGTTAAACGCCAATGGGCCATGCGTTTTGCCCAGGTGGCAAGCCTCACGAGGGAGGACTCGGGTAGCCTTGTGAGTAAGAATGTTTAAGGGAAGAGACCAGGAAGGGTGGGGGCTAGTTGAGAAGCCCACCCTCCTAGCTAAATTGGTAGTGAAAAAGCCAGTGCCCATGGAAGGGACGGTTCAGCGAGAAAAGCAGGATCAGGACCAAGCGGGCAGGCAACCAATAGAGAGATTGGAAAACAGGTTGGAAACTTTGAGGGCATAGTGGAAGGAAAGGAGTAAATAATTATAAGCATGGGGATTTCAAATCCCCAGGATAATAATTGGAATGGTAAAATGTGTGAAAGATAGAGTCTTTGTACCAAGGTGCAAGGCTCTCCTTTTCTTCTGCAGAATAAAGCAACTCTTCCTTATCCCTGTCTGGCTGTTATTGGCTCTCAGCTAGGTGGACCCGATATTTCAGTGACTGTTTCTGGCAACTCCGCCGGGACTCTCCTAGCTCTGACATTGGACTCCGGACGGCTGCGGCGAACTGGGAATGGCGCCAACGGGGTGTTTCGCCCCTTTTCTCTGCTTCACCGCAGCCCCTGGGCTTCGTGTTCCGATAAGGTGACTCCTAATAGGATAAGGAGACACTGTCTGGTTCTGTTTTGGTTAACCGGTTAATGAATTTCTGTCTTATACATTTGGGCGTTAGGTGTGTGGACAGAACTGAGCCTCTCATTCATAATTCCTCAGAGTGGAAGCCATTGCGTGTGATGAAGCTCTGAGGTCGAATTGGGATCCTTCTGTCCCGTCCCCTGTAGCGGTCAGTATTAGTAGAAATTCCTGTAATAGGATCCTATTAGGCCATAATTTCCTCTGTTCTCTGTGTAATTCTCTGTTAGAGTGTCAGCAGGCAGATGGGTGGGTCTCTGGTAAAACCCTCTGAGGATAGCCCTTTGGATTATATGTTAAGTAAATGGCCTTTACCCGGTGTTCAAAAAAGAAATAGTTACACCTTGTGTAAAAATTGATGTGGCTAGTGTTGTGGAAATTGAATTGTGGAGAGGATGTGCATTTTCCCCAAAACATGTGCAGTGTATATTGTAGTAGAGGTAAAAGAAATGCAAACCTA